ACGTTCCAAACCATCTTGCCTACTGAAACGGCAGTTCTCCCACTATCCAACATGCCCTTCCCCACCAACACGGGACCAGCCCACTCGATGTAGGACCCTGTATTCGAAAACCAGTGAGAAATAATAATAATTAGTAAGTAGTAATAATATAGTAATAGTAATTTTAGCTTTAGTTCGTCATGTAGCTCACCTTGAGTATTTCAATAACCGGGAAAGTATTGGAAAACGGCTTTTAATGCTAGCAGAATAAAAACAACGAACAAACATTAACACCTTACTTTCCTCTGACCTGAAATGGAGTGGTCCGCGGGCCATTCTGCTTCATTTTGCGTTCACGCCGCCCGAAGTGGTGAACATAGGTATTTCCAAATAAATCATAATTAACTTGTGCGTGAGTGGACATTTTGCAGTTCTCCGTTCTCATCTAAAAAATTGATTTTACCTCTACGCGCTAATGAGGTTTGTGGACACAAAATATTGGACCAAATGCGTTTTTCATGTTATATAAGAGCGGCCTAACGTTGTGATGTATGGATGGAATGTTAACTAGTTGACAGAATCATTTCGTAAAAAGCGGGCAAAAATTAATAATATAGCTTTCGTCTGTCCGACCACAGACTGCAGTCCATGGACAGCTGTTTCGTGCTATTTGGCAACTCCACAACAGCAGATTGACCTCCCATCCGAGGCATAAGATCGATCGAAATAAGACAGCACAAAGTACCAGCTAGCAACCACTGTGAGAGTGGGTAGCAGCTATTGGTTGGAACTGTAAATACTTCAGTTCGGATTTGATAGCCGAGTTACCACTGTGGCCGCCAGATGCTGTCGATTCTGGCGGAACAGTAGATGTGGTTCGGTAATATCCGTCGTTGTAATGAGTTTTCTCCTTTGTCCTAGAATATCTTGCAGGCATTCTTTATGAGTCGGTTCTGGCTCCATTATTCTTCGACCTTTTTTAAGCACAAACGCGATTTGTAGCTTCCTGGATGACAGTACATGCATAATATATACAGGCATATAGTATGAGTTTGTGTGTGAGAGAGATACAAATATGAATAATGTGGTGCCCTTTAACGCTTTTAATACTGAGTAATTTACCCTACCAACTGACAACTGCCCAAACGAATATTCATTGCTGAGTTTTACAAAGAGATCATTTGCTGAAACTTTCAGGAGGAAATGCGAAGAAGATGATAGAGCATCTGTTTAGACCAAGTGGTTCCTTAGTCTATGTAAAGTTCGTATAAGATTGGAGAGGAGGGCACTCAAACTAGTCTGAGACCTGAATATACTGAAAAAGCAGAATTACCAAACCATGGACTATAATTGCAACAGAAGAGGTCACCTCGAATTTCCTTAAATTAAATATTCTTGGATTTCATCACATTGTAATAGAAACTTTCCTCTAGCACCACCTCCTCATTGTGTTAGGTAGCCAGTTTAGCACTTCAATCAATTAATTTTCTTTAATTTTATTATTGCGTGCATTCATCTGGTGTTTAGGCTTCGGATTCATGGCTGATGGAGTATATAAAGAATTGCTTTACTTTCGGTTTCCGATGACAACTAATCAACTGCGTAATCCGATAGCAACTGTGTCTGTCAAAATTTTGGTCGTACTTACATTACATCTCGTCAGGGGTGTACTGGAAAGCCTGATTTCATCCTAAACGATCGCATGACTCGCACAGCAGCTGCGGATTAAGCTATTCATCAATCAGGACTGCCCCGTCACATTTTTGCTAGTTTTTCGGCTATTCATTTTGATTCATGATTTTTTTCCTGTAATGCTCATTTTTCTCATTATTCTCGGATGTTTGTCAATACAGTAAGCCGCTTCAGACGATTCGATCCATAAAGAGTCCATTGTTCTAATCCGGATTATTTGAAAGAGACGTGCCGGATGGTAGCTACACACTCGATGGTCTGAAACCGTCTACCACGTACAATCAGTATCTATATTTGGGGACCTCGGTTGGCCGCGTGGGTCAGAGTGTCGTGCTACTGATCAGCCGGCCGGCCGGGTCGCGAGTTCGAATCTCGCCTTCGCCATGGATGTTGTGACGTCGTGTCTTTGTCCATAATTAGAAATGTAAATATATCAACCTAGTTTCTGGCTGCATGGCCTGGTCCTAAAGCCAAAAAAAAAAATCCATTCATATCACTGACATGCCACGGGAAAAGCACACTTTCACTGGAATACACCGTCCTGAGGACGTTCTGGGACTGCCCTGTGCCATGTTGATAAAAAAACACGTGAGCGAGTCCTATTTGTATCATTAACTAATGTATTCTCTAACCTTGTGCTGTATTTAAGCGTTGACTTACAATCTGCATCGTGACAGCCACTTTCCTATTGAAGATTTTTTATTTTTAAATGCGGCAGCAACCTTCTAAGGTAAGATCGCCCATCAAGCTCCTTCGTTTCTAGATCTCATATTCTCAGAATTTTTCAACGAGGGAAAATAGCGCCCCATAACCTGCAGCAACAGTCCGGTAGGTGGCTAACACCTATAAACGGCGGTGGTCGCCACGTATACAGGGTGTCCTGAAAGTTGGGACTTTCCTTTCCACAAACTACTACCACGCTTGACATAACAAAGTTAAAGTGTGGTGGAACAGTAGCGAAAAAGTAAAAAAAATTAATGAAAAAGTACCCCTCTTTCACTTGCAGACAAATTTAGTACGGCTATGTCACTTATACGAGGGATGTCTTTTAAGTTTTGCATATAGAAACATAGTAGGCCGCGTGGATCGAACGTCAGTACTGAATCTTAACCTCACTCTTTGGTAAACTTAAATTCAAAGTTTCACAACAATACGTGCAGTGTTCTCGCTACAGTGAATTTTTAAGCGTCACCAAGTCATTAGAAAAATGGAACTCAACCGAGAACATTTTCGCGCCATAATTTATTACAACTTTCAAAGACAATTATCGCAACAAGAATGCCTTGCTGAGTTACTGTCTGTTTTCAGCAACGAAGTGCCACATCTGTCGACAATTTCCCGTTGGTATGGAGAATTCAAACGTGGACGGGTGAGTCTTAGCGACGATTCCAGGCAGTCACCCAGGAAAACGTCGATGCTGTGCGCAAACTCATCATTGAAGATAGACATGTGACATATCGCGAGATTGAGGCGTCCTTGAAGATCTCAAAAACCTTAATTCAAAAAATTTTACATGAAGAATTAGGAGTAAGAATATTAGTTTCTCGTTGGATACTCCTCCTGTTGACTGAAGAGCAGAAAGCAGCCCGGGGTTAATTGGTGTTAAAAAACGCTTGACCGTTTCAATTCCGGAAACTCAAAAAATGTGTACAGCATTGCTAGTGGTGATGAATCGTGGATTTACTGTTATGAACCAGAAAATAAATGGCAGTCGGCTGTTTGGATGTTCCAAGGTGAAGAAAAGCCAACAAAAGTCATCCGTTCTCGAAGTATTTCGAAAAAGATGGTCGTGACATTTGTGTCAAAAGCGAGTCATAGTGCAGCAATTCCTCTTAATAAGCATAGAACTGTTACTGCGGATTGGTATACCACCATTTGTTTGCCAAAAGTCATCACCGAGGTTCGAAAAATCAACCTCGAAAGAAGAATCATCCTCCACCAAGACAATGCAAGCTAGCACACAGCCCAATAAACAAGGCAGTATTTAACGGAAGAAAACGTGGAATTATTGGACCATCCGCCATATAGTCCCGATCTAAGTCCTAACGATTTCTTTACTTTCCCGAAAATTAAAAACAGACTGCCTGGTTAAAGGTTCCAGTCACCAGAAGAAGCACTTGACGCATTCAAAAAAGCCGTTTTGGATCTGCCAGCAAACGAGTGGAATAAGTGCTTCGAAAATTGGTTCGAGCTCATGCAGAGGTGTATTAATCTTCATGAAGAATATTTCGAAAAACAACAAAGTCATTTAAAACTATCTAGTGTGTTGTTTTATTTCCATATGCAAAACTTAAAAGACATCCCTCGTAAGTTCGAACTTGTCGCCGTTGGTAAAATGTTTCGTAGAAATTCTAGGTATTATAAACAGGTCCAGCCGATTTGGAAAAATATAAGGTTCATTGAGCATACTACTTACCATACCAGCCCATATATTCAAAGAAAATGTTTGTTGAAAATGTGATTAACGAACTAGGTGAGGATTTTCCAATGTCCACACAGAAGTATCTTTGAAGGTTAATTCGTCCGTGACCAATATGATCTGCCACAACCACTTACAAAACCATACTATTTGCAGGAAAATCATCAACTTGCAGGGCTCATACAAAAGGCTGCAATCTAACAGCATCCAGCATATACCACACTTTAGTCTCAAAGACTTGCACTAATCTGACCACTCCCTAATGCTTTGTTGACGGATTTTTTCTGCGAGTTTAAGTACTCCTTCCTCAGTTTGCACCATATGAGGGAGTCTAGGTCTCCCATCGTGCCCACCTCGACATTCTTGCAAAAGGACTTGTATCCTTAGCTCTTTGCACAAGGTAAACAAATCCATGAATGATAAAATCTGGTAAAGCGATCTGCATACACTCGCCAAGCCTCTGTAGCATTTTGAAGACGCTCGGCATAAATTAAAATCATGTGAAATGTTCGATAATGCTGTATGAGTGTGCCATTTTGTTTTTTTGTGTGGTGAATGTTTTGTTTATCTACGCGGACGGCGCCTGGGGTGAGTACTAACGTACGTCGTGCCATCTTACTTTTATCTGATCAACTTACAGGAGCGGATTAGGTTGGCTTTAGGTTTGAATGAGTTTACGGAGCCTAATGTTTCGGTTATCTTAAGACTTTGGTGTATATGTTAATAGGAAAAAGATCTATACGTCGTGTAAAGTCCCAACTTTGCGGATACCCTATATAAGTTGCAAGCATAAAGCATAAGTGGTAGACGGCGCCTCGGTACGTATGCTTATTTTCGCGCAGTCACAGCTTGGATTCTTTTGGTTTGGTATGTTAATTAATGATTTTATTGACCAGTGATTTTGTTTCAGGTCGGTAGTTAGATAGCCAGATTCCCAAGACGGGTCCTCACGTGCCTTCCCGTTTCTCAACCCTGAGGCGTAACCTCAGAGATTTCGAGACGTCGGAGCGGCCGTCTCCCATGCTCTTCCAGATCCTCTTCGCCATCACAAGACTGGGAAGATCACCAAGGAAAAAAGACGAAGACGAAGAAAACATCTTTTCCGCCGCGTTCGTGTCTAGTCGGCAAGTAGCGCGCGCGTTTTAAAATCAAACGGACCGCAACGGACGATCGGCATAGTGTACATTCTGTATTATAGTGTTTTCTTTTTATTTTGTTGTGTTATTAGTTTGAACAATGCCTCAGAACAACAAGTTGAAAATGAACAGTGCGCACAAGAACAACATCAGGAAGCTGTCCTTTCTGGGGTTTCAGAATCGAGCGTCTCTGAAGGTGAGTTCAAAAGTATGCAATTTCTGCTGCGTACAAGTGATTCTGTGCCAACCCGATGATCCAGATTTGAGTATTGGTAACTTAAACACTCACTGCTTTGGAAAACTAAGCAAATGACAATTGCTCGTTACAATTGTTTGAATGTGTGAAACGAGCTGCTATGGCACAGATCAGTGATGGATGATGGGACTTTGCTTTTCGCAGCGCCCTCTATAAAAAAGTATATGATTGTATTGCGCGTCCATACACAACACAGATTTTTTTGAGGACATCCGTCTACGGAAAAATCTTAAGTTCTCTATTAGAACTTGTACAATGAGTCGCTCTTCAAACTCATTCGAACCATAATTAAAACTCCTTTTGTCATTCTTCTTCATAAGATTCAGACTGCTATGGTGCATAAAACTACATACACTAGATAGAATTCATGTTTTTAGCTTTATTTTTGGTTCCAGCTCTTTTTCGGTAAACAATTTGGAAATATCTTAATTATTCTAAAAATGAGGACGCTTTCGTTATTTTGGTAAATAAGGTCTCATTTCGGTAGAAATACCGAAAAATCGGTAGGTTCGGCAACATTGCACTACTTAATAACCAGATAATTTGAAGTGCAACAAGCCCATTTAGGAACTACTGGGTATATCGTATTTGTGTTTTCAGTGACAACTATGAAAAATACCTTATTTTGTTTTCATATTCATTGTGTCCCAATATGTGAAACATACTGAGTCACAAAAAAGGTAAATACCTATGTTTATTAGAATTCAAGAATTTTGTACTATCGATTTATCTTGCCATGAACAACAAGGGATAAAATGGTCAGGTTTGTCTGTTAAGTTTTTATGGTGGCTGCGTGTATTGCTTGGCGAGAAAGAAGCATCCAGTTTTCGCACATTTACGGTGTCGGTTAAATGTTAAGCTAAGTGACTTTGATAGGGGTCGAATTGTCAGGCTGCGTGACCGATTTAAACGTCGCACATGATTTCGGCGGACTCGACTAAAAATTTGATACTCGTTTTGAATGATTTCAAATGCTGCTGTAATTCGTCCAATTAAGTCTTGCTCTGTTTCTACTGGAGTTTCGTAAACCAAAGACTTTACGTGTCCCCACAGGAACGGTGTATTTATTCAGGTTGGAGGAAGACATTTTGAACACTTTTCCGGATATGGGTCCCTATACTCAAATGTTTTCTACTGTTACACCGAATAACCCCTACAAGTTTGATCCCATAGTTCTGAAGCACCCTGTATAGTAAGTTGTATTAAAATGAAATTGGTCAGCTAGTACGTAGAAAGTAAAAGTTGAAATATTTTAATGAATATATCCCCTAAACCCCATTTACATTAACAGGACTCGTGTAAAATTTGTGTCGAATATTCATTACCACCAGACATTCTATTCATGGAGACTACAACAGAGAGCGGATTAATTTAGGAATAAAAGGAGTTCGTGACTTGGAAAATAAATGAATCTATTATATTCTAGCAAAGTTTATGATCAGAATACAATATTTAACTAATACATTAAACTTTATAATAGTAAATTAATGAACAATACTCATACATACTATAATCTATCCAACGAATGTACGGAGTAATAAATCTTCTGACCTGGCATGCGCCTCGTTCCTATTGGTCTGTTTTTTGGTAGATAAGCCGCCAAGTTCACAATAGCACTTCCGAAGAAGAATTTTTGAAGGTCTGTGGCTTCCGGTTAAATTTTTTTTTTTGAGACAACTTTAATAGGATATTTCGAGATGAGTGCCTTAGTAGACGAGGGCCAATTACCAGAAAAACGGGCAAAAAGAGCTTTGTCGGTTTCTGAAAAAGAAACTAGTATAAATATTTATATAGCTTCTAGGGAGCGCTGTCCAACTGAAACTCAGACAGAACGTGTAGCCTTTGTTTTAAGAGTATCAGGTGATGATTTAGATATGAACTATAGTTTAAAATGTTTTGTAGTTTGATGTATTATTCTAAATAATAGTTATTTTCTGTTAAGTATCTTACCCACTAATATGATAGCTACTTCAATTGTAAACATTTTGATTTTTTAAACTTAGTTTCAATTATTTTTATTATTTATTAATGCATGTATGTATAATATATGCAAAATGTATTAGTTTGTTTTCAGGAGCATCAATTAGCAGTGTATATAAAATTTTGGCAGAGCACAAAAGAAGCAACAGTCTTTTTCCTCCCAAAGGTTACCATAGAGCCAGAGTAGTTTTGGACAACGTTTTAGGAATTTAATTTGCGGGAAGTGTTGTACAAAAAACTTATTTTGTTTTTTATTTCTCCTTGAAAGTAAAATACAAAACTAAAAAATTCCGTTAAATTTTCACACACAAAAATAGTTTTTTTTATGTTTTTATCATTCTTTATCTATACTTTATGACTAGACTAAATTTGCAATTTTGTAAAGATTCATCACCTGAAATTCGTTATTCGTATAATATGGTTCATTGAATTAACAAATTTAAAGATTTAATGTAATTTTTAGTTTTGTAGAAATGAAGCCAAATAGCAACTTAAAGGAAAAGGTCGAGATAATATGTTGGAGACATAGAATCTTACGTGAAATCTGGAAGTCTAGAGAAGAAGGCAAGAAGATATACTACTTAGACGAGACTTGGCTCAATGCAGGGCACACTGTTAGCAAGTATGGGTTTATTCATCAGTTGAGCATCCTAGGCAAGCCTTCCTGGAAGGTCTCTGATAATTATCCTACACATCGGATCTGATAATGGCTTCGTGGAAGACGGACTATTGGTATTTGAATCAAAACAAGCAGGAGACTACCACGCCGATATGAATGCCGATTTATTTGAAGAATGGTTTGAAAATATTATAAGCCGTCTAGAAGAGAACGCTGTCATTGTTATGGACAATGCTTCATTCCACAATAGGCGTATTGATAAAGCACCAAACAGTGGAACAGAAAAGGGGAAATACAGGAATGGCTACGAAGGCATAATGTTCCCTTTAACAACCATATGGTCAAAGCAGAACTGGTCAAGGGTATGTCATGGACGAAATGGTTAAATCTACCAATCGGACTATTTTACGCCTGCAAATTAAAAACGTTTCCAGAAAAAACACAACTTTCAAGATCGCAGATGCAAAGCAGCTATTTTACACGGCGGTACAAAACGTCCGGAAAATTGGAAAAAGCAATCGAACATGTTGAGGAGGAAGAAAAAATGTGGACAATTAACTTAGGAAACGATTCAGAATCTTCAGAGGATACTGATAGTGATAGTGATTAGTGAATAAATGTAATTTGTATATTTACTGAATATGTTTATTTTGACGGCTCTATCCGGATAGACTCCAAAGTAGGTTATCCCAATCTTGTGTTAATCCTGATCGCTAATTTCGAAGGAGCCCTCTGTCCAAGATTCTGACGTTATCAGTTTTGGTTTGTCTTGTGGATTGCCGAAATAAACGGTCAGGATTACACAGTAATGAAAAGGTACATTCATTATTAGGTATTATATTAAAAAGATCCAGAATCCAAAAAATATGTAAAGTTAACGAATCATAAACTGGGGCAGCATATTTAATATATCAATGTAATAAACCTTATAGCACCTTGAAAGTAATGAAAAGATAGAAGAAACAGTGAAAATAAATTAAATGGTATCCCAATTAATTTTAAAACCTACACGCCACTGGCATCGGTTTTGCAGGTAGTTGTGCGGTGTAAATCGGGCTGCCCTGTCACTTGTTTTATTACTCCGTACGTTCGTTGGATAAATTATAGTAATATAGCGTCCGACCACCGACGACCAACCGTGGACAACTGTTTGGTGCTATCAGCATGGTGTAGGCTTGGTCTCGGTGGACAACGAACGAAAGCTGAGCAATTCCTATTTGAATAAGATACCACCAGATACCATCTATCACCAGAATCGACCTCGGTGAAAGTGAAAACGGCAAGCTGTCTGTTTGAACATATCTACTATAGCACCTGAATCAGCGGCATCTAGGCGGCCACAGTGGTGATCCGGCTGACAGTGCGAACTGGCATATAGTTCCAACACACAGCTTGATGTTTTTACTTTTGCGGAGGTCGATTCTGGGCATAGATGGCACTTTGTGGTGGTCTTATTTCAATACTTATACATATTTTGGATAAGATTCGTCAGTTTATTGTTTAAACTACCCCGAAAACTTCACATTTGAGTTTAGATGCATGAATTTACTCGTAGATCGACAACCGCATTATAGTCTGTGTTATATTGGTATACAGAATGCTATCATTAATATTATGCAACTCGACATCTTAGCGAACGTAAATCAGTCTAAATAATAATAAAATGTCTTTATCAGGGCCATTTTAAAACTACAATATAATGTGACCTCTACGAAGTGCAACGGTGAAATATTTGTGAGTACAGATTTTATTGATTTGGTTTTGTGTCAGATGAATCGCTTTTTACGAGAAGTGGAGCCTTTAATTCTCATAATGAACATATTTGTTCGTAAGAAAATCCCTGTTCTGTAAGAATCGACTCGTTTTCTAGAAATGTGTGGTGCGGCATTTTCAATGGCCAATCGTTTATGCACGTATTGCTACAACGTTCAAATGCAAACTCATACTTAACTTTTCTAGAGAATCACATAGAAAATGTGTTGGACGATGTTCCGTCAGCAACGAGAGTACGAATATGGTATCAGTACGACGGTGCAACACCGCATGTTCGTCGTGACATAACCGCATGGTTAAATGAGACTGGTGAACAAAATTAAAACAATTTTTTGTAACATGGACAAAACAAGGTGGTTATTATGTAAAACGTACTCCAAAGCCGGAAATAGCATTCGTTTTGTTCAGTCACCCATGGTTTTCTTGCAATAAAGAATTTTATTTGCTGCTTATACTCGTAAAATATAAGGATATGTGTGTAAGAGTACTAATAAACACTCGAATGAACATTAATCTCAGAATGTTGTTGACGATGTTTTACGGCGATATGTTGCACCTGAAGTATCTCTTAACAATTTCCAACAATAATCATCAAGCAAATTGACACTCCATTTGCCTTGATACCGTTTTTCCATAGCAGAACTGTCTTGGTGGAACCATTCACCATGTTCATCACTTACCTCACCTAAATGTTCCGGAAAAAAATCGACATGAGAATCCAAAAAGTGAATTTTTAGAGACATGTTACGTCCCATTCCTTTCTAAGCATTAATTAGTTCACTCACAATATCTTTATAATTGTCCGCCTTCACATTGCCTAAAAATTTTGCAGTAACTGATTTAAAAGCCTTCCAAGCTCGTAATTCAGTGTTTCATTTGGCACTGTCAAATACATCATTCTTCATGACTTTCCGATTTTGTTGACGCACAAATATGCCCTCTTTAGTTTTTGCCTCGCTAAGTCTAGGAAATGTTTGTTTTAAATGCAGAAACCCTCTTCCATTTCGATCCATAGCTTTCACAAAATTTTTCATCATTCCCAACTTAACATGTAAATATGGAAGCAGCACGTTTTTTGGATCAACTAGTGGTTCATGAGAAATGTTTTTGAGGCCCTGAGTTGAGACCTGACGTAGTGACCACTCCTTCTGTTCATAAATGACGATCTCGCGCACGACTGTCCCATTCAGAAAGAAAACAACAATATCTGGTATATCCCAGTTGCATTCCAAGAAGAAGCGCTATTACCTTTAAATCAGCACATATGGCCCATCCATATTCATTATAACGAATATGAACTGCGTGCGCTATAGGTACCGATGGATATTTATTACCGTTGTGTACCAATACCGCTTTTAAACTGAGCTTAGAGGAATCAATGAACAGGCGCCAATCATTTGGATCATGTTTCTGTCCTAACGCGTCAAAAAAATTGTTGACATCGGAGCAATATATCAACACCCTTTCTTGACGGTAACTGTGTGTGAGGTCTTATTGCCCTTTTCGGTAAAAAGTAATGTTAACATCACCGTGGAGAAGACAGATTTAATTCTTGAACTAAGTCATTAAGTTCGCCCTGTGTGATCAGATGCGGCGCTGTTGACCAACCTGGCAGGTCAAACGAAGGATCGGAAATTTTTACGCTTTCTGTACGATCACTGCCAGAATCAGTGGATTCGACTTTTTCATCCAAAGACCAAGATTTTGGTGGAACTGGGACAGAAAGTTCATCACTATGCTTGACGTTCCGCAAAGCTGATGGTAAATTAAAATACTTAACAGTATGTTTCGATTTTAGTCCAATACTAAATATTTGTGAGGCAAAAATAGCAATCAGTAGTATGGTCTCTCGGTTCTCCCCAAACCATTGGTACCGCAAAGGGCATTTTACGATTGTCGCCTCTTAACCAACCCGTTAACAACGTTACACAAATCTTACATCATATACCTGGATGAGGGGCCCATTGTTTATCTTGGTCGCCAACTTTAATTCCTAAATAAATTTCGTATGCTTTCAACACAATGGGAGTAAAAGTACGTTTTTGGGATTTAGAAGTTACCTCTCCGCATACATAACAAAAATTGTTCGCATTATTTACACAATTTCTATGCATTGCCCATAAAGCTTGTCTCGATCACAATGAAATAAAAACAACACACCGTTTTAACGAAAATTATCAGTACTCAGAACATCTCAGTACCCTTCAACACAGAAAACGTAACTGACTCGGCTGCTATTAGTCTACTAATAAACGCAATATGCTCTCTAAACATAGAGCTCGCATATAATAAACAGGAATAGACAGGTCTTAATATTATATATGTGCGTCATCGCATAAACGCCGAGAAATGCAGCAATATGAGATGTTACGTATTGTAATTCATAAAAGTAAATGTTACCGAATATCTGTGGGTGATAGAAAAATTCTGTTTTTAGATTTGATTTAAGGGTCTTAAAATACATAAAGCACACCCAAAAATTGTCATGTCACAAATCCTGTGTAACCAATTTAGACAACGATGGAATGGCAGAAACGGACCTGTACATTGGCCTGCGAGGTCTCCTGATTTCTTTTTTTGGAGCGCTTTTAAACAACTAGTGTATGCTGAACAAATTAATACTGTTGATCAGTTACAAGAAAGAATGGATAATGTGTTTCATCAAATTCAAGCCACAACAAATTTTACGTTTTTCTTTATTAAAAAGATTGAGAAGATAATTGAAGATTAAAAAAAAAGTTTTTTATCATCTTTTTAATGAAGCCCTAGAGGTAAAAATGTTACATAGAAAACCCCCATTAAAATGCGGTCCTGTGTATGATGTTTAATTTTTATTCACGACTTGTGAATCACCCTGTATGTATGAAAAGCATATAAAACTTGAACTAAAGGGACTACGGTATGCCAAATGAAATATTTAAAGTACACTTTGTGTCTTCCAAGTTCATATCAGTAATCGATTAAATGTTTACTGACAAGTTCATGGGGCACAGCTAATAACAGCAGTTCAAATGAATATTCGATAAATATAACTATATTTCGTGCTTCCACCTGCTGATGATTAGTCGGCTGTATGAATTTAACGCGTTCTGTGACCTGTATATACAGAGTCGAATGATCGATTAACCTATCCATTCAGGGAAATCAATTGGAGGGACGACCACAGATTTGTATTCAAACAGAACTTGGATATTGAACGAAACACCAAAGGCACAACCTGCAAGGGGAAATTACCTGGTACATTGACGGATCGAAAAGTGAGCAGAGAACAGGTGCAATCCTGGGCGCTTGGAAGACACACCTCTGTATTTCAGACATAAGTATATGCAATCTTGGCATGGCGCATGGGAAATCTCGGGTTCATATCCCAACAAGACTGCGGAATTACTCTCAGTGAGTAGAAACCAACTCCGAGTAGTTACAACTCGTAAGTCACTTCCTTTCCCTTCAAATAACACCACGTTCGGTGCAGAAACATTGTGATTCCGTTACTATCGTGATTTTTGCACGCACTACCCAATGGCGGGTACTCACAGGGGTTATACCCGTATTGCTTTATTTTCATATTATTGTGCTATATACACCAAAATAGCAAAATAGTTTATCTGTTTGGCTTGAAATCACTCAAGAGTTTTTTTATTCCTACCAAAACCATTGACTCAATCCTTCTCATTTGTATAACTGAGATAGTCCTTCAAATATACACTAAATATCTTAAATAGCAGTCCGCAGACATAATAAAGATGGAATTACGCGTACAACACCTATCTTGCAATGTCATTTTTTTTGT